GCTGAGCCGCCGCCCCTCGCCGCCCTTCTCGCCGCCGCCGCCGCCTCCGCCGCTGCCATGCCGGGCCTGCTGCTGGGCGACGAGGCGCCCAACTTCCACGCCGACACCACCCACGGGCCCCTCCGCTTCCACGACTTCCTGGGAAACTCGTGAGTAGCCCCACTGCTGGCTGCGCTCCCGAGGCTGCCCGCTCTCTCCTCCTCCGCGAGGGGTCGGAGGGCTGCGCAAGGAGGGCACGTGGCTGCTGCCCCCTCCCCAAACAAGCCTGGGCGCAGAGCGGCGCTTCTCCGCACCCTCGGACTACAGTTCCCAGGATTCTCTGGGCGGGGAGCCGCGCACTGGAAGGTGTTTTAATGACCCCCCCCTCCTCTCTTCCCTTGGGGGAAGGACCCCGGCAGACAGCGGGAGGCTGGCGAGGAAGACGAGGCTGCTCCCCCCACCCCGATCGCCTTCTTGGGGAATGGCCCAATGCCTTAAGCATCTTCTGTTACTCTCTTGCGTTTTTCTTAACGCATTCTGACTTGACTAGTATGCTGCCTTGAAAGAATTAATATCCTAACAGGTGGGGTGCAAATAGTTGTTGTAAGTAAACAAATATATTCTTGTTGTTTAGTCGTGTCCGCCTCTTCGTGACCCCCTGGACCAGAGCACGCCAGGCACTCCTGTCTTCCACTGCCTCACGCAGTTTGCTCAAACTCATGCTGGTAGCTTCGAGGTGTAGGGCAAGATGTGGAGCCAACCTTTGGCTTAGTGCAAGGGCTCTGAAGGGAGGACTTGCAAGCTGCTCCGCTCATTCCTGTAGCTTTTTGCTACTACACTGCACTAAGCTAAATCAGGGTTGGGCTTGGTGTGTCCTCCAAACCAGGACTCCTAGTTAACTGTTCTTTGAGACCTTTGGCATTGGTAAGTCATATTCCTTTTACAATGCCTCCATGCCCAGTGATTGTAAGAAGATAAGTGAGATTCCAGTGCTGTATTTGAAATGCAGTACATGAGTGGCATTTCAAAAATGTTACCCATCAATGGTATGTTAAGCACTGTAATACAATCCTGTGGCATAGTCATAGAGCACACTATTTGGTCTTAAATATGCTAAATAGTCCTTAGGATTCCGTGAAGTGCTTATGATTTGGGCAGGTTTCCATCTTCAGGAATATTTTTTCAAACTCCTTGTTCACTTTAAACTTGATAGGTTAGGCAAGATAAATTATGCAGTGCTCTTTAAAAATCCAGGGAGTATATTCAAATAGTATCTATACTGCTTCAATACAAAAAAGCACAAAAAGTTTACATACACATACCATATTTCAAATAGCAGCAATAGGCTTCTTGCTCATAATTGATATAAAAATATGCTGCACTCAGTATTATCTCTTTAGTTCAAATGTGTTATTCTTATTTAGTTGTACTAGAGATCACACAGTGACTTTGGGAAAGTACCCCCACCACTGCTAAAACCAAGCTTGAGAACACTGTGTGCTGGAACTTTTTCATGTGGGCAGCAAACAACAGAAACAGCTATTTTAAAAGATGCAGAAATATGAATGTTTCCAAATTCATAGTTTAACTTGTATATCTTAAATTGCATTGCTAACTGACTCAGTAAATATTTGCTTTCTTTATAGTTGAGGAATGACACTGCAGTTCCAGACTTTAAACAATAAAATTCATCTCCAAAGCAGTGTGCTAACACGCAGTTGTGATAGTCAGGAGACCAAAGGGTAAATTTATGGTGCTTGACGCCACTTATTGAGGCTGAGTGTAATGTTTGACTAGACTAGAGAATGAACCTTTGCAACAGGAAGGTGTTGGCCAAGATGGCCTGGCAGAAGATGTTACTTGGCTACAGGGCAAATAAAATGCTTACTGTATCCACTGAAATCTAGAGAAGAGTTATGAATGGGCTGCATAATTCACTTTTTAATTTGGCTGTTGTATGCTCTGCAGTAATTCTAAACCACCTGTCAGGGCAATATTGTTGTAAAATGCATGTCGAAACCAAACCTGATATTTCAGGGTTCCAAAGTACACCTAACCGACTCTGAGAGCTTCCTCTGCTTCTAGGATAGCAGGAAAGTGCTTCTCTTCTCCCATGGCTAAGGCCTACGTGTTAGACTTACTGACGCTTCCTGAAGCAACTTTCTCAGTTCTTTCCCCTCACAACCAGTTCTCAGGGCAGCCATCATAAAGGGAAGACATCATTGGAGTAACATGCTTTCTTGCAAAAGGAAGCAGAACTTATCCAAATATTAAGACACCAACTGTGGAATGTCTCATGAAGCCAAGTGATCAATCTTGCTTTTTAGTGTTCCTATGCTTTGTTTTTAAAAAAGAAAGTAGGGGGCAGAATCTGGGAAGACATGAAAATCCTTAATTACTGGTTATCCCATTCTGTTAATGGAACCTTGACAAATTACCATCTGCTGAGTATGCTTAATATCTGCTAGAAGTGGGACAGAAATCCTAGTTAGACACAATTTCAGTAGCTCTGGGACTTCTTCAAAACACCTTCTGAGTGGTCGCTCCTTTTGACTTATATATCTATGTGGTATGCATGCATTTATTTCCTCTTAGAATTCTGAGGCATATTGTCTAAAAAGTGTGTGCCTCCTGGAGGAGTAGGGTGTAGAGTAGGGTATCTATTTCACGACACTCGGTGACTTTAATATCACCTTAATGTAGCAAAGGGGGAAGCAGTTTACAGTGAGGTTTGCACCCATAGCAGTAATGTGCTAAGCTGCCTAAAATGACAATGCCAGTACTTATTCAGATTGTTTGTACTATACAATTTGTACTATTCAAAAGCACTGCTGACTCAGGATACCTTATCAAACAGGAGCTGTCATTTTAATCAAATAATGTTGGCAGGCTGTGTACTATTGTGCAAAGCTATGGTGCATGAGGCTCCCTGAAAGACTTACAAAGGCAGGGAGACCAGTTCTGAGGGGTGGAGGTAGTATTAGCCGTCAGTGGAGTGTCAACTGTGTGATGCTTCAGTTAAGAAGGTCATGGAATCATGGAGACTGAAAACTCCAGTGAAGAATGAAACTCTTGCTGCTGCTGCTGAAGGGAATGGGTGTCAAAGTAAATATAACAAAAAGAGAGTAGGGAGTCTAAAAAGGAAATTGGCTTAGTTTTAACTAACAGGAAAAAGAAACTTGAATTGTTCAGTCTGATTAGGAGGTCTTAAGTAAGTTTTGCAATACTTGATTTCAGTGTTACCCTACCCATCAAGACAATGCCATGTTGTTTTTCTTTCAGATGGGGCATCCTGTTCTCTCATCCACGAGATTTTACACCCGTGTGTACAACAGAGCTTGGCAGAGCAGCAAAGCTGGCACCAGAGTTTGCAAAGCGTAACATTAAAATGATAGCCCTCTCTATTGATGATGTCAAAGACCATCTCTGTTGGAGCAAGGTATTATGGAGAGAAATAGCAGCATAAATCAACTGAAGAAGTGTAGGACTTGCAGGCTTGGCTCACACATGGACTTACACACCCCACCCTCCCATCCTTCTCTGAGAAGAGAAGCTTCTGCCACTGGTGGAGGAAGAGGCGTGCGGGGAGAGCACACCGCCCCTGGCAGCGCGATCCTGGCGGGGAGCCATCAAGGCTGCCCCACCCGCGCTGGGCACCACGCCCCTACGGACGGCGTGCCACGCCCCTGGGACACGCACTAGCCCTGCCCCCACCTGCTCTCTGCCCCCCAGTGCCGGAGCATGAAGCTCCACCACTGGCTTCTGCATCAGTTTAACCAGAGTTTAGCATTACAACTGAATCCTAAATGGTGGTTGAACCAAACTATTGCCTTTTGAAACAAACCAGGTTCATAAACCATGATTTGAAATTGGTTTGTTTCCACTAATTGTAATTAAGAATAACTGCAGTTCGTTTCTATTTGGATGTTGTGACAAGCTGCAGTTAATGTATGTCGAAAGTAAAAGCTCCCAAAATCCTGGCAGATGTGCCAGAGTGTATTGCTAAATGTAGAGGCAATATTGTATCAAAAGTATATCCAACACTAAAGCTGTTATATGCTACTATACTAATAACTTTGCTGATCTGACACGTGTGACAATAATAGTGATGTTCCTTGTATAATATGGTTCCGAAACAAGAACTATCAGATAGACAGTAGCTTCATAAAACTCAAGACTAGCACCAAGTTGATCCCTTTACATTGATAACTTGCAGTCCCTGAACCCTGATCTTTATAAACTGGATTAAGCTTAGTCTTCTTAGTGATGCTGATGCATGCTAGAGCTCCACAAGGCAGAACACTGGCATCTAGGCTCTAAAGTGGACACAGAACCTCAGATTAAATCTGCACTGTGTTCCACTCCTGGGCGCCATGATTAGGAGCAGGGGGCTATGAAGTAAGCAGTGGATGTGTTGGAAGGCTGCAGCTAATGTGCCTGTTTGAGCATGTAACTGAAATAATTTGCATTACATTTTCATGAGTAGGGTGATTGAATTTTTTATTGTTTAGTAATCTATGAATACTATTCTATAGTATAAATTGTTGCTCTTCTGTTCGAAAACAGTCTCTACACTATATATGGACTTTACTGTGGAATTGAAAACAATTAACAATGGGTTTGTTTTGATTTTTTTTTGCATATTGCTTCTTGTTAAAAGAAAACTTTCAGCTTAAATTGACTTTGAGGAATTAACCGCCCTTTTACTTAGAAGGATCTATCTGCCTCAGTTTGTGATGTGTAAAATGATTAAAGTCTAGTCACAAATATACCAGGAAGTGTCTCTTGCCAAGTTGTCCAATATGTTCTTTTAAAATGCGGTGCCAACTAGCTGGCATTGCCACCCTGTCAAACCAGTCAGCTGTCTGAGAGCACAAGGGAAAGGCTGTTGTGAAGCCATATTATGTGGTGGAGAGAGTTATTTCAGGAAAGAACTCTTTGTTAGGCAAAGATGTTCTCCTTCCAAGGCTCTGCTTGACACTTTCTCTACTTAATGAAGTACATATAAAGCAAATGCAAAATAAGATTGTATAAACTTGAGAATATATTTTATTAGAAATATATGGAACTGTTCTATTTTGTTTTGGATCCAGGGCAATAATAACAAATTGAATATTGCAGTTATATTTAAAATGGAAGTGTGCCATTTCACTAGTTGTCAAAGGTGAAAACTAATTCTGGTCTGTTAAAAAGAAATCGTAGCAGTATCATGACTCCTTTATTAGGTTCAACTTAAAAGCCAAAGTAGTGAGGAAGTATTTGAAAGCTTATTTGTGACTAGTTGGTCCTATTAAAACAAAAAGCAAGTGTTTCTCTAGAGAGTATGGACATCTGGTGGTTGAATAATAGGATATAAGGAGAAAAATAAAAGTTATGTCACATTTTATGAAAAAAGGTTTCCTGTCTTCAGAAGACATTGTAGCATTTGTGTTGAGACTTCAGTTGAACATCAAGATGCCATCTGTGTTGACTGAAAAACTTTTTAATGTTCTGCTGAGGAAAAATGCATATATATTAGTTTTGCGTAGAATTAAGTTTCAAAGAAAAGTTAACACTTGGAAATGAAGCCTTTGATTTCATTTGCACTCCATGCTGACTTCAAGACTGACTCTAGATTGACTGCAAGAACATATCACTTAAGTTCACTTGCAGATCACTAATGTGTCCTGGGAACTTGCAGGACACCTCAAAGGAGTTACTCAAATCAAAGGTTATTCTTTTGGTGTGTGTCTTAAATCTTCCACCTTCAGCTTTATGCATAAGGTTCAGGCAAATGGGGGAAAGCAATATTAGATTATTCTAAATAATATATAGTATGTTACACTTTTAGGCCTCCTGTTGATGATGATGATTAAACTGCATAGTCACTTCTTTGTCATATCTTTGCCAATAATTTCTTTGTCATAACTTTGCTTCTGCCTTCTCTGCCAGTTCCCTCCACTCTTTATGTGTGACATGCTTTATGGCTAGTTCCTTAGTGCAACTGCACTCAGCCTGTGGCCTTTCTCCCATGCAGCCTGTGAGTCAGCCTGCACTCTCACTTGAGAGGAGGCTTATAGAATCTTACTTGTATAATATCTGAAAAAAGTTTTAACAGTTTCTACTGGTAAACATGCTGCTATCGCCAAAGCCATCTAGAATACTTCTTACAAACAGATTGACCATTAGCAACTTGCTGTCAAGTACTTACAGTTGGGCTGAATGAGATTGGTAATCATGATTATCTCTGACTCTAGTTGCAGTTTACAGTGTCACTTACCTAAAGGAGTCCCCATTTTTTTGTTGACGGAGTCTTGCACACCTGCATCAACAATGAAATATTTTAGCCCTGTCCTCAAACAGGCGGACAACGTGTGCTTTGCTTGAGTGACATACCTAATTTCTAAGTTACCATGCGTAGGGTTAGGCTGAACGTGTCATATAATTCCATGGAACTTACATGTAAGGCCTAGATCTCACTGAGAGGGTAAGCCTGGGCTTGGGCTGTAGACCACTTCAGATTTCAGGGACAGCTTCACTTGACTGAGGCTTCAATCCTATACAGGCTTAAAACCTGGTAAAAAGTGCAATTAAACTGAATGGAACCAAACAGATGTGCATAGGTTTGAATGTGGATTTCTCTGTAAAGAAAATGCTGTTTAAACACAGAAGACTAGTTTGTTAGCAAGAAGCCTTGAACCCTTCTTCCTGGATTGCTTTTTAAAGATACCACTGTATACCAGGAACACGAGTCACGTGAATACCACTTGTCGTCTTTCCTATGTTCTTTTGTACCAGTGACACAACACTAACAATTTTCTCCCCTGTAGGACATCAATGCCTACAATGGAGACGAGGCCAAAGAGCAGCTCCCCTTTCCCATAATTGCTGACTCAAAACGGGAGCTTGCAGTCCAGCTGGGCATGCTGGACCCAGATGAGAGAGACAAGGATGGTATTCCTCTGACTGCCCGTGTGGTACGTATTGAGGGCCTCTAACACTGCAGGCTGCAATTAGCTTTTCATTCTTTGTTTTATGGGATGAAGAAACTTTTAGCCTCCAAGGGCCACGTGTCATGATGGGTGGGTGCTTAGGATCAGGCTAGTGACCCATCTAGTCCAGGACCCTGTTCTCGCAGTGGTCAACCAGCTGGACACCAGGGATAGACTATTTTGGGACAGCAAAACTGATTGGATTTGGAACACTGGAGAATGATTGAATCCCAATGTTCCCATCTGGGGGGAAATGTTGGTGGGCTCATAGACACACTGTTTTCTGCTTTTTTAGAATTGACAGTCATTTTGTGACTCACACTCACCAAAGTACTTTCTCTAAATTCCAAAGTTACCGAAAAAAGAAGGGTTGATCCCTTTCTAGGGTAGTATTATTCCTGTCTTTTAGATCAGTTACCTTGTGGGGAGAAGCTGCTAACCTTCAGAGATATTCAAAATTCTTTTGAAATCTTCCCAGTTTTACCAGTAAATAAATTTTATCACTTTTGCCTGTTTAGGACTACAAATTCAGGGCAGAAATATTGCAGTCAGATCATTGTATGCCAGAAGTCAGATGAGAACACTTCCTGTAAAGTAGACCTTTCTACTACAGACAACTATAGTTCCAAAATATTTTTGAAAAGGAGTGATTGTGAGGGATGAGTTGTAAAAGAATAGCTCATCTGGCATGATTTTCAGGTTCTCATTCTGTGGCTTTGCTTTTATAGGTATTCGTCTTTGGCCCGGACAAGAAACTCAAACTCTCTATCCTCTACCCAGCAACCACTGGCAGAAACTTTGATGAGATTCTAAGAGTGGTCGATTCCCTACAGCTAACAGCTGCTAAGAAGGTTGCTACCCCAGTTGATTGGAAGGTAACTATACTTTCTTAACATTAACAGTACCCTGCTACATATGTGAGTCTAAATTCAGCTTCTGTCTTCTGGGAAGGGGAAGTTGCATCCAGTTCAATTAGGATAAACTAACTAGGGAACAGCGCAGTAAGCGTGAATATGTTGTTACTTTTATTCAGTTGGCTAGTGCAACTTACCCCAGGAGTCCCAGTGATACCATTATTATTGACCTAAATAATTTGCTGAAGGAGGGCCACTTACTCCTTTTGGTTTCTGAAAAGATCAGCAGATATGCCTCTGAAAGCTTCAATTGAGTCACCAAGGCATTGTCTTTAGGGACCAGATAGTGGGACTTTTGAACCCTGCTGCTCTGTTTCCCCTTCTGGCTCTTGATCCATATTCCACTATCCCTGTGGCTGTAAATTACAGTTCCTGATTTACAGTGTCAGCATAAACTGTTCAAATGAACAGTTTGATAGCTAAATTGACCAATTTCCAACTGTGGGTTCTGGGACTATATAGATTTTATTGTACATTATGAAAGTGTGGTATTGAACATTATTTACAGCACAATCTTATGCAGGTTTACTAGGTAAGCGTGCCTGGGAATGCAGCTTGGTTTATTCAGTACATTTATATGCTTCCTTTCTACCAAGGCATTAAAGGTGGTTCACATAGTTTAAATTGTACACTGCCTTTACTGGCTTCACAGAAAGACAGTATATAATGCAGTACAAAAATGAAAGAACGATGAAACTGTCTCTCGCCATTGGCGTATGGTCTTTTGCCTTCCCTTAGGGCACACAGATACTTAAATAACATCCTTTTAAAAGACCAACTTTGCCTTGAACTGATGATGTGTGTGAGAGATTTTCATTGCTTGACTGAAGCTGGCTCCTGCATTTGTGCAATCTTATACAGCAGGCATTTATATGTAGTACCATATTGGCCCGAATATAAGCCACACTTTCCCCCCAAATCCCAATCCAGAAAAGTTAAAGTGCGGCTTATATTCACAACCTTATGATATTGCTGCTGAAACAGCTGCCCAGGAAGGCTATCTGGGGTGTGGGACAACAGCGCACCACCCACCGGCAACTCCCAAGCTGGTTTGGGGAGGCAGTGTTGGGGGCAGTAGTGTCAGGAGGTGGGCATGCAGCGCAGTCGGAACTGGCGTGCGCCTCCCCCCCCCCCCCCTGTTCTGGGTGGCAGAGCCAGGAGGTGGGCCGCAACCGCAAATAAGCCTTGAATTTTAAAGGCCATGCTTATTTGTGGGTGCGTCTTATATTCAGGCCAATATGGTATGTAGGGTTTGTCTGTTTGCATATTACATATGCATTGGGGAATATCCATGTGGGAAACTGAATATATATTCCAACTTCAGTGAAAGCTTCCATGTAAGAGGATCGGTGTGTTTTTCACAAATGCAATACAGTGGTGCCCTGCAAGACGAATGCCTCGCAAGACGAAAAACTCGCTAGACGAAAGGGTTTTCCATTTTTTGAGTCGTTCCGCAAGACGAATTTCCCTATGGGCTTGCTTCGCAAGACGAAACGTCTTGCGAGTTCGTTTCCTTTTTCTTAAAGCCGCTAAGCCGTTAATAGCCGCTAAGCCGCTAATAGCCGCTAAGCCTCTAATAGCCGTGCTTCGCAAGACGAAGAAACCGCAAGACGAAGAGACTCGCGGAACGGATTAATTTCGCCTTGTGAGGCACCACTGTAAGCTTCAACAGACTGAAGGTTCTGGTCTTCACTGACAGAATTGGAGGATCAGAGGGTCTGCAGCTCTCTTTAACTATGGCACTTCTTACTAAAAGTCTCCCTTCCTTCTTTCCTCATGAGCCTGGGGACCAGGTCATGGTGATTCCAAGTGTTCCAGAAGAAGAGGCTGACAAGCTCTTTCCAGGAGGAGTTTGCACCAAGGAACTTCCATCAGGAAAGAAATACCTGCGTTACACCCCTCAGCCTCAATAGCAACTGTGAAGAGATCGAACAAACCAGAATGCTGGTCACAGGGGCTCTGTAGGAAAAGCTGCATTAACTATCTGGTGTGGAATTAGATTTGCCAAGCACACAATATTTAGCAGAGTGACTGAATCCCAGCTAGTCATCACGGGGTTGTTCTGTTCAGACATGTGATCAGTTGTCATGGGTTTATTTTAAATGAATAATCAATTTTCTGTTCTTTAGCCATGTATAAACACACTTTCGGATAACAGATTATTTCTTTGTCACTGAAAATTTTAGTAAATTGGCAAACAATCTCTCGTGCTGCTATGTGCAGAAAATCTCAAAATAAAACTGTTCAGCTAATCACTGTACAGGCTGTGGGGTCAAATGAGGTATGGTTCTTGAGCACAGTTCACTTGAAATGATTGTGACTAGATTGTTTGCACAGCTGAAGCTTGTTGCAGTTTTCCTGGGCCTTTATTTCAAATTAATTTGTTCTACTAATCAAATGCCTAATCTGGAAAGGCTTGTATTAACCACCTAGTCTGTATTGGTTACATTGGATAGATGGCTATACCAAAAAGACTTTCAACCTTTTTTTTTTTGTTCTTCTTATTCAGGAAATAAAACTAGCTATTAAAATGTGTTGTCTGCTATCCAGTAATTCTGTAATATATAAAATCATGCATTTTTGAAATACAAATTGTGCAGCATACAAGGTCTCTATTCAGATCAGCTAATATAAACTGGGAATCCCCCTCAAATAATCTGTTTAGGCATAACTAGAATAACAATGCTAGAATGGAAACATGACTGTAGAGCAGGGGTGGCAAAACTGGCCCTCCACTATGTTCCTGGACTCCCATCAATCCCAGTCAGCCTGGCCAAAGAGAACTGTAGTCCATCAACATTTGGAGGGCCACAGGTTAGGTTGCTAGAGGTTTCTATAAAATATTGATAAACATGCCCCTCCTCATAATGGACCACAGTCATACTCCACCAGTTTTTTTCATTCTGCTGGCATCTGTTCATGAGAAACTGAGGTTTTCAACCTTTTTGAGTCCACGGCTCCCTTGACCAACTACATTCTGCAGCTCCCCTGTGGGGGAAAGTGCTCTGAGCCTCAGAAGCCCAGCTATGTCACCCGTTGCCTGCAGAGCCAGCAAGCCCTTGCCCCTTTCTGAATGCCCTCCTTGGTGGAGTGTTCCCTCAGCCTCCTCTCCTTGGGAGTCCTCCAGGCAGCCGCTGCCACTGCCCTAGTCTCTGAGCCGCCCTCCCCACCCCAAAGAGAGTTGTCTCCTCACACTGCCCCACAGGGGCCTGAGAAGAGGATGCCCCCAGCCTTAGCGGCCCAATGGAGAAGAGCCAAAGGTGAATATGAGGCCGGCACTTGACTCACCTTGGGTGACAGCAGCAGGCACCACCAGTCCTGCATGGCAGAAAGGCTCCCCTTTGGCACTGAGCTCTCAGCTGCCAGGCAGGAAATGCACACAGCAAGCACAAGAAAGGCCATCATGGTGCCTGCCTACCCTACCTCTCACTGGTCTGCCCATTTCCAACAGCAAAGGCTGGTGGGCTGGCTGGCTGGCTGGCCTCCCTCACCCACTTGCTTGCTTACTCAGCTCCTGGCAACTAGCACCCCCTGGCCAAGCCCCAGAGGCACCATTCACCTGGGCAGCTTGTAGCCAGGGCTGCTGCAACAAACAGTCACACAAGCCTTTAGAAGGCAGAGGTGAGAGGGTCTCGAGGGAGGGAGGGAGGGAGGGATGGAAAGAAAGAGGAACAGAGGCCAGTGTTGTCCACAACACACCTGACCATCATCCAAGGCACCCCAGGGTGTCACGACACCCTGGTAGAAAACCATTGGAAAACAACATCTTAAATTTTGCAGCAAATTTTGGGTACAAGTTGCCTTGCAACAATTTTGGAGCTAGCAGCATCACCAAGACCACTTTCCATACCTGTTTTGGTACTGAAATTTAATGAACCCCTGGGGGTTCATGTGCCATATTTAATATTAGCAGTGCCTGTATTTCCTATTAGGGCCTAAATAGCTGTGATATGACACATCTATTATAAGATTTCCTGATCTTTGATCAGAGCAGTACTGCTGGAAGAGTGTTGTTTAAACTTTTTCCCTTCTTCAGTTTCCCTTGGTTCGCGCTATGGCTTTTTGAAAAAATGAATTGTTAGAGCACCTGCTTTTTGTAAACTTCATCTTGAATGCATTATTTGGTCTTGCTTTTAGTCACTCTGACTTTTCTACCCTATGCTGCTGTTACCAGCAAAGAGTGCTTTCAACTCCTAAGAGCATCTACTGCTTAAATATTGCAAACAGCAATGGAATGTAATACAGTGGTCAAACAACCTGCTGCAGAAAGGGAAAGGCTTATATCATGCCTACCTCTGCTTTAAACACTTCAGCTATTGGATTTTAAAAAGTGCACTGGAGCATTTAATGACTTTTTACAATTTGAAAAGGGCTGCATAAGAAGATTAGTTTTATGAGCGGGAAGAATGTGCTCCTGGGGCCGAGCCTTTTAAGTATTCCCTAGCTCAGGCCTTTGCTGGTTCTCATCAGAAAAGTTGAATGTGGAAGAGGAGAAGAGAACCAACAAAACTTTATGAGACTAGGAAGTATTTTGTAGAAAGGCATTAATTCTAATAAAGTGATCCTACAGGCTTGCAAAGAAGAAAAGTTGCAGGCAGATTCCAAAACGCAGGGTTCGCATTGCTCAGCTGCATAATTTTATTATGCTTATCACAGAAGAAGAAGAAGAAGAAGAAGAAGAAGAAGAAGAAGAAGAAGAAGAAGAAGAAGAAGAAGCCAAGACCGAGCTCAGGGCGGCTGACACCAGGTATAAAAAGAATTGATTGAAATACAACTTTAAAACAAGATTAAAATACGACATTAAAACATCAAATGCAGCCTCATTTCAGTAGGAACTCATATCAAAAACTTTTGGGGGGATGAAAACGTCAAGTCATCACCAAGGCCAACTATCCAGACCTGTCCTACATGGGCCAGAAAAAAGCCAGGGAAGTCCCCAAATAGGAGTTCCATCACAGAAAGAGAAAGGAAAAAGGAAAGAGGGGGGAGGGAATCAAACTGATTCCAAGCCAAAGGCCAGGCGGAACAACTCTGTCTTACAGGCCCTGCAGAAAGAAATCAGATCCCGCAGGGCCCTGGTCTCATGAGGCAGAGTGTTCCACCGGGCCGGAGCCAGTGTTGAAAAGGCCCTGGCTCTGGTTGAGGCTAATCTGACTTCCTTAGGGCTCGGGACCACTAGGGTGTTAGTATTTATGGACCTTAAGGTCCTCCTTATAACTGAACAATGCCTTCCATAGTAGATTAAAGAACATACTTCTGACAGGTGGTGAATGTGTGCATTTACGAATATGAACTATGCTACAATAATTTAAAAAAAATTAGACATTGTGGTCCTGGTAGACCACAAGCTTAACACAAGCCAACAGTGTGATGCAGAAACAAAAAAAGCTAATGCTCTTCTAGGCTGCATCAACAGAAGTCTGGTGTCCAGATCAGAAAATAGTACCACTCTGTTCTGCCTTGATCAGACCACACATGGAATGCTGTGTCCAATTCTGGGCACCACAATCTTAAGAAGGATGTTGACAAGCTGGCACATGTATAGAGGAGGGCAACCAAGATGATCAAGGGACTTGGAAACCAAGCCGTAGAGGAACGGTTGAAGGAGCTGGGTATGTTTAGCCTGGAAAAGTGGAGAATGAGAAGAGATGATAGCCATCTTCAACTATATCAAGGGCTGTCACATTAAAGATGCAGCAAGCTTGTTGTCTCCTACTCTGGAGGTTAGGTAGGACTCAAACCAATGGCTTCAACTTACAAGAAAGGAGATTCCAACTAAACATCAATAAAAACTTTCTGACAATAAGAGGTGTTCAACAGTGGAATGGTCTCCCTCAAGAGATTTTAAAGCAGATATTGGATAGCCATCTGTCATGGATACTTTAGCTGAGATTCCTACATTGCAGGGGGTTGGACTAGATGACCCCTGGGGTCCCTAGCAACTCTACAATTGTATTATAAAATTAAAACGATATACCTATATAAAATCTGTTCAAAGCATACACATACTTAACGATAGAAACAGCACAACATCAGCCCTTTCATTAAAAGCAGTTTTCAAAAGCCTGCTGGAACAAGAAGGTATTTACCAGCTGGCAGAAGAACAACATGGAGGGAGCCAGTCTAGCTTCTCTAGGGGGGGAGTTCCAAAGTATAGGAGCAATGACTGAGAAGGTCGTTTCCTAGTTATAGATCATAGCCAGCACTTCGAATTGTGTCCGGAAACAGACAGGAAGCCAGTGGAGCTGTTCTATCAAGGGAGTCGTCTGCCCCCTATAACCAGCCCCAGTCAGCAATCTGGCTGCAGCTCTTTGAGCCAGTCAAAGTTTCTAAGCACTTTTCAAAGGCAGACCCTCGTAGAGCACATTGCAGTAATCCAAATGGGATATAACAAAGGTTAGTGTCATTGTGGCCAAATTAGGTACCTTGCAGATGGCCAGAACTCCCATTTGTATTGCAGTTTTCACTAATGGGAAGACACAACCTAATTTCACATCCTGTGGAATGTGCAGGGTTTCCAAGGCAGATACTCAGTAGTACATCGGCACAACTTTCTCCATAAGAAAGATTCTCCAAAATAAAAATACAAAGAAAAATATTTCCATTTAGTAGTGGGGCTCTGGTACTCACGGGGCGTAGCCAACTTTGTGAAGATGGGAAGCATAATGTCCTCCAGCAACTGTTTCTGCTCCAGAAAATCTTGCATAGTAGCCTCTTTTGTGTTTTCAAGCCAATCTGACTTGGCTTGACAGGCCTTCAGAGAAATATTCTGCACAGAGGGGGGAAAGTGAGTGTGTCATATGGGAAACTAGAAAAACTAACCAACCAGTTGTAGCTAATCAGCCACTGGCATCTGCTGCCCAGTAGAAGTACAGTGGTACCTCGGGTTAAGAACTTAATTCATTCTGGAGGTCTGTTCTTAACCTGAACCTGTTCTTAACCTGAGGTACCACTTTAGCTAATGGGGCCTCCCGCTGCCGCCAGATTTCTGTTCTCATCCTGAAGCAAAGTTCTTAACCCGAGGTACTATTTCTGGGTTAGCGGAGTCTGTAACCTGAAGCGTCTGTAACCCGAGGTACCACTGAACATGTTGCTTGCCTCTGCTTTACTTGCAAAGTTGTAAGTAAGGAAATATTACAAAAACACTCTACGTCTCCAATGCTCTCTCCAACAATGAAAACCAAAACCTGGGTATCACTGCTACTGGAACATCTCAAAACATGGTGGGCAGCACACAAAAACGCATATTTATGATCCATAATTGTTGTGTTTAAATATTGTGCATTCTCCACTATACCTTATCTTCTTTATTAAGCCTTCCCTGAACTTTCTCAGGATCAGTGATTGTTGTCTGGATTTGGAGGATCAAGTTCCGTAAATTCTGCTTGGCTTCTAAAAAAAGAGAGAGAGAGAGAGACAGAGAGATTAAAAGCCCTAGGTAAGTGTTCATATTTCTGTACTAAAGCTATAGTCAAAGGTAACAATGACCATTAACTAAGAAGCAGTCAGCATCTAAATCCACACATTTTTTATAAGGTACCTTTGGTTATCAATTGCCAGTCTCTTACCATAGTGCTCATATAATGTGAGACGCTGAGGTTTTCTACAATCAAGCAGTATATAAATATGAATGAACGAATGAATGAATAATAAATATTACATAGTTTGGATTTGATAGTGTCAAAGTTTAGCACATTCCCTTTAGTTACAGAAAATTTGAGGACACAACAGCATTCGAGATAAACATATATTTGTTTCATGGTTTTCATGCCAAAAAACAGTCCCTTTTTATAATCCTCCAAAGCATAACCTGGCTATCTTGGCAGGTGATAATGATGCACTACAGGACAGTTATTCTTCCTTTCTCCTACGGGCTTCCCTCTGAGTTGGGGGTGGGTGACCTTTTCCACTGGGAGGGCCACATGCCCTCAGAGACAACCTTCTGTGAGCTGCATACCAATGAGACATGGCCAGAAGCAAAACTGGGGTGAAGCAACATATGTGACTTTTGCCTTTATACAACAGGCTACATTCAAGTCATTTCAAATCTAGAGGTTTCCACATACTTATCTCTCCATCCAGGCAGGTAAGATGCATTATCACAGTTCAATGCACTCAAGGGGCAAGTGGTGGATTAGGGCTATTGGTGGAAGTGATAATGCCGTTTACCTGCCTGGAGTAGGGCTTTTGGCAAGGGAGGGGTGTGGTCTGGAGAGCATTCCAAGAACCAGACAGAAAGACCTGGAGGACGGCATTAGGCCTGTGGCCCCAAGGTTCCCCACCCCAACTAGGTCTTCAGTTCAATCTGAAATGGGAACTGAATTCCCTTTGGTGAGTTGTGATGTTATTGTATCTCTCCTATACAGTGGTACCTCGGGTTACATACGCTTCAGGTTACATACGCTTCAGGTTACAGACTCCGCTAACCCAGAAATATTACCTCGGGTTAAGAACTTTGCTTCAGGATGAGAACAGAAATCGTGCAGCGGCAGAAGGCCCCATTAGCTAAAGTGGTGCTTCAGGTTAAGAACAGTTTCAGGTTAAGAATGGACCTCCGGAACGAAATAAGTTCTTAACCCGAGGTACCACTGTATAAATACATACTTTGTAACCTCTGGCTTCCTATGGAAATGAACGGGCAAGACAAGCTACACCAAAGAGAAACTAGGCAAAGGAGGCCTTAGATTACGAGTCCTGGACACCCTTCAACTCTCTTCCTATAAGTACCCCCAGGATGTACAGAGCACTGAAACACACACAGTTACAGCGTGGCCACTTTCAGATGATCATAATTCGCTCAATAAGCCATCATGTGAATGAGTCTTGTCCCCCGCATGCAAGTCCCCCAGTATGCTTCACTCCTCTGTCCACGTGCTCCGGTGAACAAACCAGGAAATCCTCTGTTAATGATAATTTCCTGTTATGTCTGAACTGGGAAACTTTGGTTAATTGCTTTGGACCAAACCAAGATATGAAGCCATGTTTTGAATTCAGCTTCATATTCCAACTTCCTCAGAAGCCATTAACTCTCACTTGTGATGAGCAAAGTACTGTTGCTACATGGGGGGCACAAGGGTCATTTGTGTCTTGGTTTACAGCTGAATTCAGCCAGGGTCTCTCTACCATTCACTGTGGACTCTTAGTTTATATTTGCATAATCTTGAATTTTTAAAGACATTGATAAGAGTAAAATTTAAATAAAGTCAATTTTCTGTAATATTGATTACTAAAACAATCTCATTTTGCTTCAAAACCCAGTACACTAATTATTTAACACTTAACAAAAGTGAGATAAGTCTTTAATCATGCAGAAAAAATGAACATTTTCATTCTAGGCCATGCTTTTTTTGTTATCAGAACTATGAGATGCCTTGTCTAATACTATTTTTAAATGCTTCTATGTTACTGCATTGACTGACTTCCAATATGTTGTGTAACAAAAAACAGCTTGTACAACGAGACTTCTAGTTTCTCTTCTTCCCCCTACAGCCCCTCAAATGCCCCCATAATTTGCTCTAGAGCAGTGATGGCGAACCTTTTAGAGACTTAGTGCCCAAACTGCAGCCCCAAACCCACTTATTTAGCGCAAAGTGCCAACATGGCAATTTAACCTGAGGTTTTAGTTTAGAAAAAACAACTCATACATTAACATCTTTTGTCTTAAATGAAAAACACAATAACACAGCTTTCAATGATACAAACGACTTTTTTTTAAAAAAAGTAAAAGTTTGCATTTCGCATGCTTTTGAACAATTAATGTGATTTTTGCTGTTGTACGCATGCTGATAATTTGTCTAACCTTGCTGAACTCAAGGCGGCTTGCTTCTGACTAGGAACAACAGACTGGCGGGAGGCCCTGGCGCATCAAAAGTCAACACCTGCTCAGCAGCTTGCCAGGGTTACCACAGCTCTAAATGCGCCCGAGAGCAGAGCAGGAAGGCGAGTCGGGTGCAACCGAGCATGATGGTGGGGAGGCGGAGCCAGCTCAGAGGCGGCCGCCAGGTTTGGTTGCGGTGGCAGATGGGCTTGATCAGTGACTTGAGTAGCGGTGGTGCAGGCTTTGGACGGAGTGGCAGTTTCCTGGCACAAGCCCTCCCCCCACCCCCCTGTGCAGCCCCGAGGGTGAAAATGGTGCCCTAGCAGTGCTGGGACCATACTGGAAGCGGCCAGAAGTCTCCTGTAGTGCTGGAGTGCCAGTTTCACCTCCTAGCTATGGCCCTGCTTGGGGGGACGACACACATGCCCACAGAGAGGGCTCTGAGTGCCCCCTCTGGCACGCGTGCCATAGGTTCGCCACCACTGCTCTAGAGTGTTCCCCAGCCCTGTGGAACAGATTTCCAGGGTGTGCAGAGATTGCCAAGGTGAAGGGAGGAAAGGAAGGAGAAGCTACCTTGCACAGGCAGGTGCCCACTCTTGCTATGTTGGATCTCATTCAGGAGTAATAAGACTCATCCAAATGACTATGTAGTATCCCTTCACCTTGCAATTGCATACATCCTCCAGAATTCATAAGCCAACTGTACTATTATATTATGTAAAGGTAAAAGGTAAAGGACCCCTGGACGGTTAAGTCCAGTCAAAGGTGATTATGGGATGTGGCGCTCATCTTGCTTTTCAGGCCAAGGGAGCTGCTGTTTGTCCACAGACACCTTTCCGGGTCATGTGGTGCAATAGAACACCATGATGAGTGCCAGAGCGCATGGAAACGCCATTTCCCTTCCTGCCACAGCAATACCTATTTATCTACTTTCGTACTTCTAGGTTGGCAGAAGCTGGGACAGAGCAATGGGAGCTCACCCCATCGCACACATTCAAACTGCCGACCTTCCAATCAGCAAGCCCAAGAGGCTCAGACCATGTCCCTCTGAATTATCTGACAAATATAAAGTAAGTTTTTGAAAATTCCCACTTTTATAAACTCTCCATAGTTTGCACTGAGAAAAGTGCTCCTGAGAAAAATCTTGCAATCATAATGACATCATAGAAGCTTTCATATATAAAGATCAGGATCCCCCTTTATGACATCACAGAACCCTTCCCCAGCTGATGGGTTGATTATATTCCCTGCATTCAAATCTCTCCAGTGCTCGGGCTGAGAGCTTGGTCACGATGGAAGGATTTATTTGATTTATTTAAATCTTTTTTTAGACAATGAATATGAACTTAAACAGTTATTTGCTACGATTCCTACACAGGGAACATCAATTAGCAGAAGACATTTCTTGCTGAAAATTTCACAGAATGTTTTCTCAAGGTCCTTGTCAGGTTTCTCTCCTTTGGACAGTCTTATTGTTTCAAGATGTTATTGGCTTTTGTGAACGACCAGCTTGGACAAGAGTTGCTTGGGAAATGACTCCGCAGGATCTGGAACTACTGGCGACTAAACAGCAATCTAACTGTTTTCGTGATTCAATGTGTCAAGTATGCCATTGTTTTACTGGCTTAGGACTATCCAAAGAGTCTCTAGAAGTTGTGTATGCTGGTTGTAAAGTAGCATTCCTCATAGTGAGTGGTTTAGCTGTCCACTACCTGTTTACCAAACTGAAACTGAAATTGACACTGGCGAAACCCACAATGGTAAGATATTCTCAATTAGCACATTGTCTGGCTCCCTAGCTTTAATTTCCGACCTTTAACTCAGATTCCAATTTAATAGAAAAATATATGTAAAAAAACAAACCACGAGTCTTAATGCTGATCCTAGTCAGAAGTACTTTCTAAGTAACACGTGTCAGGACAAGGTGAGCACAGCCACACTATAAATCTACTGGTTTTATTTAACATCCATTTCCTCTACAGAACCCTGGAAGTTGTAGTATGAGCTGACAATTCTGTGAGAGATCCTTAGCACTCTCAGAACTGTGATTTTGCTAATTCTTTGCAAGGACAAAAGCATGTATAGTCTGGTGTGTAGATATGCCCAATGTGTACTTTGTACACAAAAAACTAAATTTTGAACAACTGAACCACCTGGGACTCTAACTACAGTGAACTGGCTAAATATGTGCCTAATTTATACTTTTACCTACTTATACCTACTTATATGTTAAAGAATCAAGTGATCTCACTATCTAATAAGCTCAGCTTTCACAGAACAGCAGATAGAAGACCAATGAGCATACAGTGGTACCTTGGGTTACATACGCTTCAGGTTACAGACTCCGCTAACCCAGAAATATCACTTCAGGTTAAGAACTTTGCTTCAGGATAAGAACAGAAATCATGCTCCGGCGGTGTGGCGGCAATGGGAGGCCCCATTAGCTAAAGTGGTGCTTCAGGTTAAGAACAGTTTCAGGTTAAGAACAGACCTCCAGAACGAATTAAGTACGTAACCAGAGGTACCACTGTACTACCATAAAGCCAAAGGGAAGGAGTAGGAGATGTTGTTTTTT